GTGATGTCAGTGATGTGATGTCAGTGATGTCAGTGTTGTCAGTGTTGTGATGTCAGTGATGTGATGTCAGTGATGTCAGTGTTGTGATGTCAGTGTTGTGATGTCAGTGATGTGATGTCAGTGTTGTCAGTGTTGTCATGTCAGTGATGACAGCGTTGTCAGTGATGACAGTTATGTCACTGATGTGATGTCAGTGATGTCAGTGATGTGATGTCAGTGATATCAGTGTCAGTGTTGTGATGTCAGTGATGTGATGTCAGTGATGTCAGTGTTGTGATGTCAGTGTTATGATGTCAGTGAAGTCAGTATTGTCAGTGAAGTCAGTATTGTCAGTGATGTCAGTATTGTCAGTGAAGTCAGTGATGACAGTATTGTGTTGTCAGTGTTGTGATGTCAGTATTGTCAGTGATGACAGTGATGTCAGTGTTGTCAGTGCAGTGATGTCAGTGATGTGATGTCAGTGATGTGATATCAGTGATGTCAGTGTTGCCATTGTTGTGATGTCAGTGATGTCAATGTTGACAGTGATGTCAGGGATGTGATGTCAGTGATGTGATATCAGTGATGTCAGTGTTGCCATTGTTGTGATGTCAGTGATGTCAATGATGACAGTGATGTCAGTGATGTGGTGACAATATTGTGATGTCAGTGTTGTGATGTCAATTTTGTCAGTGATCACAGTGATGTCAGTGTTGTGATGTCAGTGTTGTCAGTGATGTCAGTGTTGTCAGTGATCACAGTGTTGTCAGTGATGTCAGTGTTGACAGTGATGTCAGTATTGTCAGTGTTGTCAGTATTGTCAGTGATGTCAGTGATGTGATGTCAGTGATGTCAGTATTGTCAGCATTGTCAGTGTTGTCAGTATTGTCCGTATTGTCAGTGATGTCAGTGATGTCAGTACCTGGGGTTTACTAACAGCGTGAATCTGTGGTGAAGACGCCTGTTGCTGTTGCTGCTGTTGTTGTTGCTGCAGGTGTTGTTGTCTGAACATCTGAAGGTGAGCTGGAGACAGAGTCTTCCCCTGGGGCAGTTGCATCCCTGCTGTTGGACACAGGAGGGGGGGGGGGGGGGGGGGGGGGGGGTGAGTGTCCGTGACATCACCACGGTACCTTGGGCGACCTGCGTGACCATCGGACGGGTCTGGGACTGGACCGGACTCAGGGTGGTGGAGACCACGGCAGGAGCGGTCACCGGCGTCACGGCTCGGACTCCCTGCCCCGTAGCTATGGCCACCACCTCAGCCGGGGCGGCGGCTGCGGCCGCCACCGTCCTCTGGGTGAGGCCCACCTGGGCCGCGGCCGCTCCGGCGGGCTGGAACAACAACCATGACAGGGTGAGAGAAAGTCAACAACAGCGGTGATGTAACAGTGGCCAGCAGGGGGAGCAGGTGTAGGTGTGTGACTCACAGACAGGGGGCCGGGGATCACCGGGGAGGCCAGACGTTTGTTAGCCTGGAAAGGACTTGGAGGGACTCCAGCCACGGTGTTCACGATGACGTTTCCTCCTACGGTGGCTGAGGAGGAGAAGAAGAAGAAGAAGAAACGGTGAGAGACGTGTCGTCCAATCAGCAGCTGAGCTACGAGAGCCGTCAGTGAGGTGACGTACCGGCCTGGATGGTCGTGCCCGCGGTGGCGTTTTTGATGGCTCCGGCCTGGAAAGGATGAAGGTCACTTGTGAGAAAAAAAAAAAAAAAAAAATTTTTTTTTTAAATAAAAATAAATGAAATAAATAAA